CTTTCTAGAGTTTTGTTCTGCTCTTTCATTTGGGACATGTTTCTTTGTCTCCTTATTTTGGCAACCTCCCTGTGTTGGCTTCTGTGTATTAGTTAGAGCTGCTAAGTCTCCTGGTCTTGGTAGAGTAGCCTAATATAGTAAGTGTTCTGTAGGGCCCAGTGGCACAGGCTGTCCAGTCACCCAAGCTGGTCAATCCAAGTATAAACCCTCTGTAGGCTGCATTCACTTTCCTGTTGTAGTTGAGCCTTGATTGCTGTGGGCACATCAATGGGAAGGATTTACCTTTAGGCCACTTGGCTGGCCGTGCCCACTGTGGAGGATCTGCTTTGCAGGGACCAACTCTATGGAGCAGGACTCACTACAGTGAGGCTCTGCTGCCCACTGATTCTGCTTCACCTTTTTAAAGAATTTTATTTGTTTGTTTGTTTGTTTGTTTGTTTTTATTTCTTTTAGAGGGGAAGCAAGAGAGAAAGAGAGGGAGAGAGACATGAATGTGTAGTTGCTCTCATGTACCCCCTACTGGGGACCTGGCCCACAACCCAGGCATGTGCCCTGACTGGGAATCGAATCAGCAACCCTCTGGTTTGCAGGCTGGTGCTCAATCCACTGAGCGACACCAACCAGGGCTTGCCTCCCCGCCTTTTTAAATAAGAATTTATTTGAGCCAAACTGATGACATAAGCCATGGAACAAGATCTCAAATGTTCCCCAGAATAACAGTTTGCTTCTTCTTTTATGCATTTGAAATTAAGGAGGGGATGTAAGGAATATTAGAGGAAGTAAGGCAGGGATTAGATTATAGGATAGTTAACAAGATTATGTGCTCTTTTGGGAGTTAATACCTTACTTCTGACATTTCAAAGGTGTGTTAACCTAGACCAGGAGTGTCAAACTCATTTTCAACCGGGAGCCACATCAGCTTCTTGGTTGTCTTCAAAGGGCCAAAATTAATTTTAGGACTGTATAAATGTAACTACTCCTTAACTAGGGGCAAGGAGCTCAGTGCTGCCACTGGGTAGAAACAAGGTGTTGGGCGGGATAAAACAAGGTGGAAGGCCGGATTCAGCCCACGGGCCTTGTTTTTGCCACCTGTGGCCTAGACAGAATGCACAGGGACTGCTTTAAAACCTTTCATTAAAAAAGTTTTAGGCCTGGGTTGTGACCCTCCACCATAACTTGCCCAGTTAGGAATTTATGATCAGGTCACCCTATGAGATTACTTTTCATAGAACCTCTTTATTCCTCCACAGTTCTAACTTTTGCTTTTTGTTTGTTTAACATTTTGGATATAATCAATCCAAAGGATGCATTGATGACCCACTTTTTGGTCAAGTAGTATGGTCTCACAGCCCTCGGAAGGCTTATTCCTAGGAAGTCTTGGTATTGATGTCTTGTTGACCACTGAGGATGGGATCTGAGTTAAAGCAGAATTTTTTTCTAAAAAAGGGAAGGTAAATGGAAGACAATCAGATCTGTGGTCTTCATTGTGAAAAAAACATTTCTGTCCTATCATTTCTGTCCTATAAACTGTTGTGATCCCAGTTTTATCTTTTCACCTTTCTGTATTTAGTATTTAGTACAATATTGACATGAGCCGTGAAAAGTGTATTATCAGATATCTCGTACGTGTTCAGTAATCATAAGCAGTTGGACTAAATGGAAAAACTCAAAGGACAAATATAGCTATTAATATGACTAATATCATTAGCAGACAGATAAAGACAATCAAACAAAATGGATTCCGAGTTCACTATCACTCTGTAGATGCACAGGCCATGTTAATGTCTTGGGATAGCTGTCTCTGTTTGGTGTTAGCAGCTCCTCATCCTCAAGGAATCTTTGACATGTGTAGATGTTCATTCATGGTTAGGCACCTGAGTAGATTCTTTCCAGCAAGGTTGGAGTGTGTTTTTTATTAGATGTCCTTTCCAGTAAACTGTGTCACCAGGGGGCAGTCAACAATCTTTAAAGTCTTTGTCTTCTGGGAGCTCACCAAATTCACCGATGCGAAGCAAGGAGCTGGTGGGGTACAATGGGACCTTGCTTATACCTAGCACCAGGTCCATGGGGTGGTCCTGGGTGTACTTCTTTGGATTCTTGCCAGCTACCAAATAAATGGATGCTAAACCTGTGGAGAATTTTTATGAGTTTATTTGAGCCAAACCAGTGTGACACATGCCATAGATCTCAGATGCTCCCTGAGTCTGCCCCTTGAGTGTGTAGCTTGTGGAGGTGCTCAGGTGGTGCTTGGGTGTGGTCTGAAGCTGTCTACTGTGTGCGCTGGCTCTGGGGCCTCCCAGGAGGTGCAGGCCGAGGTCTGTCACTGTGTGTGCCCTGCCCAGGGCCACCCTGCCTGAGCTACAAAGCAATCTGCAGATGGCTGCTACTTGTGCTGGGCTTGGAAGTACCCAAGAGAGGCTAAGCTGCAAATGAAGTCTGGCTTTGCCCGCTTTGCCAGGTCTGCGGCCACTTAACAAGAGGTACGAGGCTCCCTGAGGCCAGGTGCTGTTTGAGAGATTTTAGGAAAGTCCACAGCATGAGCCAATACAAGTAGTGTGTATGGAAAAAACACTGAAAATGGCCTGGCAATCCCCAGTCTTCTTAACTTTTCCTGTTGTGGGAGACTAATCAGTAGGCCAAGTCCTTCAGTGTTTGATGGTAGAATGGAAATTCTCACATCAATTCTAGGGTCACTTTTAACCATCTTTAAGGTTTAAAAGCATATCTTGAGACAACTTATGGGGGGGTACTTAGTAAAATTATGCCTTCGTGTATATCAGTAGACAGACATATAACAATTATTTATTTACTGAAGAATATTTACTGGAAAAGTATGTATTACTCTATGCATAATAATTGTAGACAGACATTTTTTCTTTTAAGCAACACAGATGACCAAAAAAGAAAGAAAGAGACTCAATATTTTTAAGGTGAGGGAAAATATATACACATACACACACATGCACACACAAAGACTTATTTTATGAAAGCTAGAAAATTGTTTTCAAGGAGAAATGTATGATCTACAGTTACAATGTTTAGATATTTGGCAATTGGAAAAAATAATTTTTTGGTGAAAATAGGAAAACAGATCGACATAAATGTACATTAGGGTAGTGACTTTCATTTCTTGTACATACACAGTGAAATAGTTCTGGACAATAAATTCTTGGAAAAGTAGGGTAGGATTGGATAAATGTCATAGTTTATGACTGAATACATATAAACAGGTGAAAACTCAAGATGGAGAGGTAATAATAACCACCTGATAAAGCGACTTAAAACCCTTTCACCCTACAAAAAAAGATTGTGCTAGAGTTATGACTTGATATTATGGTTTGATTTTTTAAAAAGATATTGGTTACATTTGTGGCTACTGTGGGTATATAAAATAAAGAATGGAATGCCCTTGTTCCCTCAATACAAAGAAGTATTTATCATTTAAAATCTTAACTGTAAAAAAAATTGATGCTTCAGGTTTGGGAACTAATAACAAGATTATTGAAAAATGGGACACAGCCACTATTTCTGCCATGGCATCTTGAAAATAAAGAGTAGTTGATATTGGAAAATTAAATAACTATTTCAAGACAGCTACCAAACTAAAGTTCAGTTCCATAATGTTGACAACGTATGAGTCTTCAGACCTTTCCTTTATCCCCCAAACACCCTATAGTGTCTGCTTTATGTCTAAATTTCAGGTTTTTCATACATTTTATTTTCACTTATCTAAGCCTCACCCTGCCCCCTCATAGGAGTCATGCTGTGAGGTTACTGCAGCCTGCTTTGATTTTCTGTCTCAATTTCCTTAGCACACACACTACCTTAATACCCCTTTGCTGCTGTGTCTGAGGCCAGAACAACTTCTTCTCTTTGTTTGTACACATTAGTTAGCAAGTGCTGGGTAATTAGTAAGCATTGTGGAAAACAAGTTTAAAGGGAAATCAGAAGAGCAAGCAACTAATAGTGTGATAATGGTTTTCGGAGGAAGTAGACATGAACGGAGACCCAAACCAAAGAAAGACTATGTCCCAGGGAAGATAAGATTGAGAGGGTTAGGGCCCAAGTATGTGTAGGCAGATACTTGGACTATAAGTGCCATTTATTATTGGATGAACCAACTAAGGAACAAATGTGTATAGTGGCTTGGCCAAGTTTATTGGACTTTTATTGAATTTGTTGGGGTGACATTGGTTAACAAAATTATACAGATTTCAGTTGTACAACTCTATAATGTATCATCCGTATTTTGGTGGACTGTTCCTTATAAGTCATTCATTTATCACACATTTTTTGAGTTCTAGGGTACAAAGACAAAGAAATGATATTTTCAGGAACTCAAATTTTAGTGGGGCTGAAAAAATGTAAAAAATTTGCTAACTTCAATAGGAAATATGCACAAGGTCTGTGAAAACACAGAGGAGGAAGCTGCAGAGGGGATTTGTATAGGATAGGCCAAATTCTCAAAGACCTTAAATTTCATACTCAATTGTTTAGGCATTACTTTGGTTATCAGTAAGGCAAAAGACTGTCAGTGACAGAGCAACTTTGTGAAGGTTTAGGACAGTACTGACCCTTCCGAGGATTTCCCTGTGGGATTTAGTAAGAGATCTGAGAGTTCCCCTGGCCCAGCCCCATAATTATACTTCAAGTTCAGCTGACAGCAAAAGTCAGGATATAATTGGGAGAGCCAGCCATCTCTAATTAGTTTGGAAGTACTATCTCAGAAGGCAGTAACTCTTTAATGTTAAAATTTTATAAATACCAAACAACTGAGATGCCCTAAAATATATACAAAATATATACATATGGAAACCTAAAATATATACATAACTTGAAAAAATAGTGTGCATTTTGAAGGTGATGATTGAGTATGTTTAAAATCCAAAAGAAAGAACAAGAAAAAGAGTATTGGTTGAATTTTGTGAGTTCTCAAAGGTATTTTCAAAGATCTGTAACTAAACATAGTATTTTTGTCCCAAATTAATGTTTATTTCCAGTCATTTGGCCCTTCAAAAATCACAAGGAAGAAAAGTACTACAGATTATTCTCCAACAACTGGAACTTGTCAATTGAGCCCATTCGCTTCTCCCACAAGGTCTAAAGAACAAGAACACAAAAATGGACCATCAAATGGTTAGTTAAACATTCTTTTTCACTTATTGTAATATTTTTCTAGTTATTGGTTAAATCAAAATTTTGATTTAATAATATATGGATATTACTGTAGCTGATTTTTTTCTTCTTAAAGAATTCAACATAGAAAAGGCTAGAATATAGATATTACTTTGGACATAAATGTAAACTTTCTAGGTACTTACTTTAAAATGCTACTGCAGACTTTGTTCCCTTACTGTCTTATCCATTAAATAGAAATTATGGCCTGACTGCCTTCAGCTACTATCAATTATAATGGTCACAGATATGCCTCTTAACAAGCTATCCATCATGTGCATAAATTAAAGGGCACATAATTCAGGTACCAACTGCACTATGCAGTTTAAGAATGATACTCCTAAATGTTATTTTTATACATGTTGTCCATTTAGTCTTATCCACACTTTGTATATCTTTATATAGCTGCTTTTATTACATTTCATTCCCTTCTTTTCCTTTACTATTTTAAATGCATTTTCAAAAAATCTGTAGGATTTTCTGTAAGCAAGTAACCTAGTTTCATATGAAATGCTTTATTTTAAAATATTGTTAGTTTAAATTTGACCATATATATTTCTTATTCTCTGGTAGTTTATTGCTAAAATGTTTATTTAAAAGATATAGAAATCTAGACTTCATAGGTTTCATTTTTAATATTGGAAAAGGTTATGAATCAGTGACATGTCAAGTTTCTATAATATAAAATTTTAAGTAGGCTTAAATTTAATAAAATATATTTTAGATATGATTAGCCTAATTCATATTTTATTGTTTCACATTTATTGAGTGTTAAGCATATACTAGAAGCTATACAGAAACAAAGAAGTCTTATTTTACCTAATTTGTTGTAATGAAACCCATAATGAGATCTTAAACTTTTGAGTGATTTTTATTTTACTTTAATCAAATGCTTTTTATGTTAAAGCTATTACTATTAGGGTTGCTTTCACAAAAATGTACGAAGATGTACACATTTTCTTCAAGTTCTATAGTTCTGTTTTTTATACCTTTTTTGATATATCTTTTGTTTAAAATGAACAATTAGTGCCTTAGAGATGGTACATTTCCATATTGAAATGTGAATAGGTTCTAAGTGGATATGTACTCAATTTCCATATTGAAATTAAATATGGACTTAAGGGAACATTCCTTTTGCCCATAAAAAGATTGGTCACATGATTCCAGTTGACATTTAAGTGGATAATTATCACAGATTATAATACTAAGTAAGCTCTTTTTTAAAAAGTCATATAGCAAGCGTTCCTGGGGAGCTGGTAATATTCTATTTCTTAACATATATTGTGGTTACACTGGGTCACTCTATAATTTTTTATTAAACTGTAGATGGTGTGTTTTATATACTCTGATATATATATCTCACAGAAGTCTCAAAGTAAGAGAATTCTGTCTAGGTTCTTACATCAGATTATGTCATCTTATTACATGTTTTAGAAATTAAAAAGCCCAACTCGTATGAAGTAATTTAAATTCCAAATGAAGTCATAACTTCTATTAACAATACTCATTTTTTAAATATTGTACAAAACATAAGGTATGATTTAAATAAGGATTTTTACCTAACATTTTCAAGGACATTTGAGTTACTACTCACTTCTCATCACACTTGGGGTATAATTCAAAACCTTATCATGACTTTTAAGGCCATACATCATCTAATACCTGAGCATATCACCTGCCTTATTTTCTACTACTACCCTTCCCAAGCTTATACTACTTTAGCCATTCTTTCCTGCTATTTGTTAATCATGCTGAGCCCCTTCCCACCACAAGAACACTGTACTTGCAGTTGTCTCTGGAATACCCTATCTCTAGATATTTATATGTACATCCAGTATACCTTGAACCATGTGGTATGTGAACAATTAATATTAAATTTAAATTCATTTCTAGCTGTAAAAGGAAGAAAAATCTGATTATGAGTCTTTCCTCTACTTAGACTCTGCATGGACCATAAATGGGGTGACTGATTCAACCTTATACATTTAAGATATATATATATATAGTATACATACACACACACACGCATTTATCTCTCTCATATATATATATTTGTGTGTCATTACCTTGCTCCTCCACCACCCCCCCCAGCAAGTTTATCCAAACTGTTATGCTTTCAGAGGAGAGGAAGACTGGTACATCTTTTGCTCATCTTTATTCCCCAGAATGCATCAGAGTTATTTTTTTAGTAATTAGGGTAGAAGGATAAACAATAAATTTGCATAGCAAAAGTGAATACTTATAAATTAGACAGTAGAGCTGTAGAAATCACTCAGATTGCAGCAATGTAACAGCACCGAAATATAAACAATATGATTAAAACAATAAAGAGAAATGATAGAAGAAGCAGCTCTGTGTTCAGGCCAAGATGGAGGTGTAGGTAGATATGCTTCACCTCCTTGCACAACCAAAAGAAGGAAACACCAATTTAAAAAAACAAAAACAAAACAACACAGAACTTCCAGAAAATCAAACTGTATGGAAGTGCGACAACCAAGAAGTTAAAGAAGAAACATTCATCCAGCCTAGTAGGAGGGGAGGAGACGGGAAGCTGGGTGGAGAGGACTTGTGGCGAGGCAGCAGCTGGCAGGGCAGGTAGTCTCACATTCACATGTAGATAAACCGGGAGGAACTACTAAGGAGCAAGACAGACTGTACAACCCAGCATTCCAACATGGGAAAATAGAGCCTCAGAACCTCTGGATGTAAAAACCTGTGGGGGTTGTGGGGGCAGGAGAAGCTGCCAGTCTCTTGAAAGCAGGTGGAAAGCCGAGCAAGCAGTATCGTTCCCTCTCTGACCCCTCCCTCCCATATATGCCACAATGCATCCAGAACGTGGGTTGCCCTGCCCTGGTGAACACCTAAGGCTCCACCCCTCACAACATAATAGGTGTGCTGAAACAAAGAAATATGGCCCAAATGAAAGAACAGAGCAATATTCCAGAGAAAGAACTGAATGAAGAGGAGATAGCCCACCTACCAGATGCACAGTCTGAAACACTGGTAATTAGGATGCTCACAGGAATAATTGAGTATAGCCACTAAATAAAGGAAGAAGTGAAGGCTATACAGAGTGAAATAAAGAAAAATATACAGGAAACCAACAGTGGAACAAAGGAAACTGGAGCTCAAATCAACTGTTTGGAGCAGAAGGAAGAAAGAAACATTCAACCAGGACAGAATGAAGAAATAAGAATTAAAAAAAAAAAAATGAGGAGAGGCTGAGGAACCTCCAGGACATCTTTAAATGTTCCAATGTCCAAATCATAGGGGTACCAGAAGGAAAAGAGGAAGAACAAGAAACTGAAAACTTAATTGAAAACATAATGAAGGAGAACTTTCTCAATCTGGAAAGGAAGTAGACTTCCAGGAAGTTCAGGAACCTCAGAGAGTTCCAAAGAAGTTGGACCCAAGGAAGCACACAGCAAGGCAGATCATAATTACATTACCCAAGATTAAAGATAAGGAGAAAATTTTAAAAGCAGCAAGAGAAAAGGAGACAGTTACCTACCAAGGAGTTCCCATAAGACTATCAGCTGATTTCTTAAAAGAAACCTTACAAGCAAGAAGGGACTGGGAAGAAGTATTCCAAGTCATGAAAGGTAAGGACCTACATCCAAGATTCTCTATCCAGCAAAGCTTTCATTTAGAATGGAAGGGCAGATAAAGTGCTTCCCAGATAAGGTCAAGATAAAGGAGTTCATCATCACCAAGCCATCATCATATGAAATGTTAAAGGGACTTATCTCAGAAAAAGAAGATAAAAAATATGAACAGTAAAATGAGAACAAACTGAATTATTAACCTAACCTAAAACAAAAACAAAAACGAACTAAGCAAACAACTAGAATAGGACTAGAATCACAGAAATGGAAATCATATGGAGGGTTATCAGTGGGGGAATTGGAGGGGGATAAAGGTACAGGGAATAAGTAGTATAAATAATAGGTAGAAAATAGACAGGAGGAAATTAAGAATAATATAGGAAATATAGAAGCCAAGGAACTTATATGTACAACCCATTGACATGAACTAAAAGGGAATGCAGGTGGGAGGGGGTATACAGGGCGGAGGGGAATAAGGGGGAGAATGGGACAACTGTAATAATATAATCAATAAAATATATATTTTTTAAAAAGATTTTAAAATCTGTTCCGTTGCTGCTTCTTAAATGTTTTCGTAGATAAAAAAGCCATTCCACTTTTCTCATTGATAACTTTCTAATCAATACTATAAGTAATACTTTAAGAATGTTATATTTTCTTCCATAGGACTCAGTAAAGGTATTTTGAATTTAATAAGCACCATTAACATTGTTATTTTTCATGAATTGTTCCTCTAAAGGGCTTCTTCATTTTCCACACTTGTTTACTAATTTGGTTAATTAAGAGAATAACAGGATTTGATTTGCCTGTTAGCCTGAAAGCTTCAACTTGATCTAGCAATAACTTTTAGAAAAAAGTTACTAACTTGTATGTGACACCTTACATAAATCATTTGAATCTCTCTGGGTCAATCAAAATTTTCTTCAAATCATAGCTTTTGGTTTGGGACCAAATAATGCCTGAGATGTGTGTCAGCTACAAAGTATGTGTATCTAGAAGCAGCATGATACTAGCCTAGACCTGTTTGAACTTTAGATTAGTCTGTTAATAAATAAGCATAGCATCATGGTTAAGAGCGCTGTCTTTATAGCTAGCTGGCTGGGTTTGGGGCCTGACTCTGCCACCCACTACTTTTAGGGCTGCCGAGGGCAAATTATGGAAGTCATTCTATGCCTCTATTTCCTCATCTGTAAAATGAGAATAAGAGTGACTACCTCAGAGTTGTGCAAATTGATTAGTTAATATATGTAACATTTAAAAAAAAACAGTGCCTAGCCCTAAAAATACTATATAAATGAATGTTATCATCATCATCATTGGTTGTACTTCTAAATGTTATGATTTGTTGTAAGCTATCTTCATTAGTTACCGAAGGGGCTAAATTTTGAATACAGTCCATATTTAGTGACGGTATGTTTATTACTACAGTTTTGCAAAATTGCATCTAAAGGGAGTCAGATATACAGCTGTTAGTTATATATAACCTAGCAAGAAAAAGACCATATAGCCTTTTAACATATGTTAATTGCTAATAGAATGGAATGAAATAAAGTAGCTATTAAGTAACTAGAAAACTCCTAATGATATATTAGCATCTACTAACAGTCTTTGATCATTGATGCAAGTGCTATTCTTAGAGACTTTAAAACTCTTCCTACTTATCAATTGGAAATATAATAAAAACATAAGTTCTTCCATGGAAAAATTGAGATTAATGCTATTGATTTTATAGGAGGAGATTTGACTAATACTCTTACAATAATAAAACTGTTTAGAAAAGTATTGAATGGGTGAAAATTTAAATAAAGCATTCTTATTTCTCACCTAACATTACTGATGGGTGCTAAAATGTGAAAATTAAATACAAGGTAAAAGAACAGAGTAATTTAATATTTAATTGTGGAGATTTATTGAATACAGACACCATAGTACAAAATTCAGGTAATTAATTAATACTAATTTTGTGAAATAAAGGTTTAATGTGTACTATGGGTTTTCATCTGTGGTTTTCTACAAAACATACATTTCCAGCTTGACTTTTTCTTTAGAGAGACAGCTTCTAAGAGACTTATTTCTTCAAAGTTCTCCAAAATGATAAATGTTACCTTCTTACCCTTATATTTTTCATTAAATAAACTGTTAACAATATTAATTTATTCTGTTAAATTTAATGGTGCAGACAAGTCAAGTAATGAATGAAAAGTTAATAAGCAAGAGAGGTAACTAGTACTTTAGCAAAATTTCTAAATCACAAGATTTTTGACATTAAAGGCTAATTTGAGATAACAGTTTAGTTACAATTTTTTTAGAGAAAGTATAAAGTTCAGAATAAGTGAGGAAATTCTTAATCACCTTCTGAACCAATTTACTCAATGAAATTATGAATACCAGGTCATAGGAAATATACTCTAAATAAATATTCCCCCTAGTAATAGGAACAAGTATAATTAATGGAATAAAAATTAAATTAAAAAAATGCAAACCAGCATTGTAAAATGTGTTGCAGATTATATATTTCTTAATATTTAATAAATTACACTTGAAAATTTTAAAGAAATTGCCTTCACATTATCAGTATAATTGACTTCATCTAGAAATATTAGAGCCTTCTGTGGTATAATCCTATACTGTTCAATACATGTAGAGCATTTGGAATGTAGCTTGTCTGAAATGAGATGTGCCATAAGTATAAAATACACACATATCAAAGATTTAGTGTGAAAAAATAATTATTTCATTAATAATTTTATATCATATGTGTAAAATTACAGTATTTGGGGTATATTGGGTTAAATGAAATATCAAAATTTATTTCGCTTGGTTTTTTTTCTTTTCTTTTTTTTTTTTTTCTGGTAGCTTAAAATGACAGGAATTTATTCTCTCACAGTTCTGGAGGCCAGAAAGCCAAAAATCAAGGTGTCGGCAGGATTGGTTCTTTCTTGAGGCTCTGAGAGAGAATTCATCTCATGCCTCTTGCCTAGCTTCTGGAGGCTGCCAGCAAACCGTGCTGTTTCTTGGCTTGTGGCTCTGTTTTTGCTTTTTAGAAAAATTTTGCTACTAGAAGATTTTAAACTAAGTGGCTCACATTGGTTTCTGTTGGAGAGTCAGATAGTTTTTCACGATACATTACATTGAACAGTTTTTTTGAAAAGTAATAAGAACATTGAGTAAATAATAGTTCTTGTGCCAGTTGTTGAACAAATGGAACTGCATAAAAATATGTAATAGTATGAGGGGAGTGTCATCATTTAAACATTTTAAAAAGTGATTTTTCTTTAGTGTTTGTCATTAATAGTAAAGAGTTTGGATTATTCATTCATTTGCTTGTTTATTCATTTAATAAACATCAAAGGCCATATATGTAAGACACTGAGAATCTTTAATTAACTATGCTAATGTGCCTTGAAATACTTATATACCAAATATGTTTAAAGTATATAATATATATTGTACTATAATCTAGAACAACCAACCAAATGGTTAGCTCATAAAACCAATGTTTACTTGACCACTAATAGGTGTAAACATTTAAGTTCTACTAGAGCTATGAAATCAAACTAACATTTTTAACCCCACACACATATGAAGGATAACTTAGTTTCTCTAGTTTTCTCTTTAATAAATAAGCCCCAGTGGAAATTTTTTTCAAAAGATTGTTTTTTCTAGCCCTGGTGGGTGTGGCTCAGTTGGTTGTGCGTTGTTCCTTAGACCAAAAGGTCGCCAGTTCAAGTTTCAGTCAGGGCACATTCCTGGGTTGTGGGTTCGGTCTCTGGTCAGGGTGGGTACAGAAGGCAACCAATTGACGTTTTTCTCTCACATCAATATTTCTCTCCCTCTCTTACTTCCTCCCTTCCCTTCTTTTAAAAAAGAATCGTTTTATATAACATCATCATGAATAAAAAATAGGAAAATAAGAAATGAAAAATGTAAAATAACTATTGAAAAGTTGTAACAGTGAAATTTTTTTCCCATAGCAAATTTCAGGGTATTTTTTTCTTACTTTCCTTTTATTTGTCTATCCTTTTATTTTCTATTTAAAATTTGGTGATCTGAATTTTATTTAAAATTTGACAATTTTTCCCTCATTTTTTTTGTTGCCCATGTATAGGAAAGAGAAAAAAATTGAATCATCTCAGTTTAACCAAGAGAAAGAAATCTATAACAAAAGACAATGAGTAAGTTTGTTGTTTTTGAAATAATATACATATGTCTTGAAAGAGAGGGGTCATATTTGTTTAGTGATAATTTAAGAGAAATTATTTTCTTACAGAAATTAATAAAGAGTTATACCTGAGTTAAAGTAGTCTTTTTTAAAGAAGTGAAATACTTTGTGATATGTTTTGCAGTGTTCACATGATGGTGATATGTGATACCTTAATTTTAATGCTCATTGAGCCCACTTTTCCCAACTTGTACATCAAGACCAGCTTAGGTTTAAACTGAGGAGCTCTATTCAGATTTACGTGGATGGAGAAGAAACATGTTGTCTAGGAACATAACGCCTAACAAATAGCTGATTTGATAGCTAAGAACACAGTGAAGCCTGCAGATTATGCAGTCTAGAGGAACCTAGAAGGCTTACATGCCAGCACCTAACTATTTTCATACTGGCTTGCCAGAGGTCCTTTGAATGAAGTCATTATCTGCAGAAAGCTGCTGCCTATATATTCTGGAAAGAGTATTTATTCACTGAGGCTAGAGAAATTGAACTAAGGAGGACAGTGATCAAATATTCAAAGTAATTCATATGTTCAGCTCATTTACCCTTTCAGCTGTATCTTCTTTGTGCCACACAATATCATGGATGAGTAGAGGTGAGGAAAATGAAGTTTCTACCCATTGGAAGCTTGTGGTCTTATGTTAATATACCTGCGCTGACTTAGAAGTGGGTAATGTTTCAAAATGTTTTTAAACCATTTGAGTGGAACTTAGAGTGAATTTTCCATACAAATGGTGTAATTTGTGGTTATACCTCAAGGTCAGGGTCTCAAGTGGATTTTTTCCATAATGTAGCTGAACTACATTAAAAGATGGAAAATGAGTACCATTTAGAGTATGGTGAGGATACAGAGTTTCTCAGAGAAGTCTTCTTGTTTGGCATCTCCTGCATCTAGTCCCATACCCCTTTATCTGCTTTTCCTAGCTATCTTCCCTAGCCCTACTCCCCCCAGCTCCAAATATTTTCACGTGCCCTATCCCAACATACTTTTGTTATAAATTACTACTCCCTCCTTCCCCCATTTACAGTTCTCATTTCCTCAGTGAAATCTATCTCAACTAGATATTACTGTATTTTGCTGTGTATAATGTGTACCCACATCTTTGCTCATACTTTCAGGAAAAAATCTTTTAATTTTTTAATTCATTTCATTTATTTGTTTATATTTAGAAACAAAACCAATTATCATATTCCAGGGTATTATTTTCCATATGATAATGCTGTTGCTTTCTAGAGTTACACTTTTAACATATAAGCATAAATTAAAGAATTAAAGACATTTATATAGATATGGAATTAGTACTACCCATGTATAATGTGCATCCTTATTTTTTCCTAAAAAATTTGGGCAATAAAGTACAGATTATACATGGCAAAATATGGTGAGAGGAAAGCATTTTTTTGTTTAACTTACTATATTTTAAAAGAAGCAATATATATACATAGTAAAAAAAAGTCAAGTTGTACAAAAGGACATGCAGTGAAAGCAAATAGCAAGTAATGGTATTACTTATATGTAGAATCTTTTTTTTTTAAGATTTTATTTATTTATTTTTAGAGTGGGGAGGGAGGGAGGGAGGGAGAGAGAGAGAGAGAGAGAGAGAGAGAGAGAGAGAGAGAGAGAGAGAGAGAGAGAGAAACATTAATGTGCGGTTGCTAGGGGTTATAGCCTGCAACCCAGGCATGTACCCTGGCTGGGAATCAAACCTGCGACACTTTGGTTCGCAGCCCATGCTCAATCCACTGAGCTATGCTAGCCAGGGCTATATGTAGAATCTTTTAAAAATTTTCATAAAAACTGGTGGTTGCCAGGGGATAGGGGGATAGGACAGATGTTATTTAAGGGTACAAAATTTGAAACCAGTAGTAAATAAGTCCTAAAGATCTAATGCACTGTATAGTGAATGTAGACAGCAATATTTGTATTATAATCTTCAAATTTGCTAAGGCTATAACTTAATTATTCCATCCATTAAAAAGAAATGGTAAAGAGACTTCCGGCAAGATGGAAGTATAGGTGGACGCACCATACTTCCACGCACAACCATGATTAGAACAACAACAATTTAGAGCCAGAATAATACCTAGAACTGATAGAGAATTTATCTGAGTGGAAGTCGGACAGCCAAGAAGTTGAAGTAGACCCATACATCCAGACTGGTAGGAGGGGCCGAGAGGAGCTGGGCTGGCTCGGGTCAGTGGCGCGCGGAGGTCGGGGAAAACTTGGTGCAAATTCGGCACGTAAGCCAACCGGGGCACGCAAGAACGCAGCGGTGGACCCTGAGTACGCAAGCTGCAGCTGGTGGACCCAGTGAGGCCGCGATTGTGGACCAGGGCAGAGCTCACAGCCCAGGATCCCAGAGAAGGGACTGAGATCCCAGGAGAATGGAACTATCGCCATTATTCCCTCCCACCCCCGCCCCCACAGATAACGTCACAATCTAGTGACTGGGGTGCCCGTCCCGGTGAACACCTAAGGCTCCGCCCCCCCCACTGTAACAGGAGTGACCAAACCGAAAAAAAAAGGAGAGACAGGGAGAGACATGTTTCCAACAGAAGAACAGATCAGTCCCCCAGGACTCATCGGCATGTAAGTCCGATGAGCAACCAAGAAATAGCCAATCTATCAGATGCACAGTTCAAAACACTGGTGATCAGAAAGCTCACAGAATTGGTTGATTTGGGGCGCAAATTAGATGAAAAGATGCAGGTTACCATAAAAGAGATGCAGGAAGATACACGGAGGAGAGCCAATAGTGAAAGGAAGGAAACTGGGTCTCAAAACAATACAGTGGACCAGAAGGAAGATAGAATCAACCAAGAAGGAAAGCATGAAGAAATAAGAATTCAAAAAAATGAGGAGAAAGCTTAAGAGCATCCAGGACATCTTTAAACGTTCCAACATCCAAATTATAGGGGTACCAGAAGGGGAAGAGGAAAAGCAACAGATTGAGCACGCATTCGAACAAATAATAAAGGAGAACTTCCCCAATTTGGCAAATGAAATAGTCTTCCAAGAAATCCAAGAAGCTCAGAGAGCCCCAAAGAAGTTGGACCCAAGAAGAAACACACCAAGGCACATCATAATTACATTAGCCAAGGTAAAAACGAAGGAGAGAATCCTAGAAGCAGCAAGAGATAAGGGGACAGTCACCTACAAAGGAGTTCCCATCAGACTGTCAACTGATTTCTCCAAAGAGACCTTACAGGCAAGAAGGGGCTGGAAAGAAATATTCCAAGGCATGGAAGACAAGGACCTACATCCCAGATTGCTCTATCCAGCAAAGCTCTCATTTAGAATGGAAGGGCAGATAAAGTGCTTCTCAGATAAGGTCAAGTTAAAGGAGTTCATCATCACTAAGCCCTTATTTTATGAAATGCTAAAGGGACTTATCTAAGAAAAGAAGATAAAGAAAAAATATGTATAGTAAAAGGACAGCAAACTCACAATTATTAACAACCACACCCAAAGCAAAACCAAAAGAAACTAAGCAAATAACTAGAACAGGAACAGAACCACAGAAATGGAGGTCACATGGAGGGTTAGCAACAGGGGGGCGGGAGGAGGAGAGAGGGGGAAAAGGTACAGAGAATAAGTAGCATAGAATGTAGGTTGAAAATAGATAGGGGTAGGGCAAGAATAGTACGGGAAATGTGGAAGCTAAAGAACTCGTAAGTATGACACATGGACATGAACTAAAGGTGGGGGAATGTGGGTGGGAGAGGGTGTACAGGGTGGAGGGGAGTGAAGGGGGAAAATGGGACAACAGTAATAGCATAATCAATAAAATATATTTAAAAAAGAAATGGTAATTGTGTAACATGATAGAGGTGCTAATTATCACTACAATAGCATTTATATTACAATATTTAAATTTATTAAGTTAACATGTCATATACCTTAAATTTATACAATATGTTAAATATATTTCTTTTTTTTTTTTTTAGAAACTTTGTTTTCTGTAAACTTTATTTACATTCTGTTAGGAGCTTGTGGAAGAACACCTTAAGACCACTCAGTGGTTGTTCCTACCTATTCAGTAATCTGGAGGTATTTTTCAATTAAAAAAATATATTGAAAAAGAACAAGAAAGTCGGAGGATTTACACTTCCTGATTTCAAAATTTACTACAAACTTACAATAATTAAAACAGTATGGTTCTGACATAAGGATAGGCATATGGATCAATAGGGTAGAACTGAGAGTCCAAAACCTATACATCTATAGCCAAAGTGATTTTGACAAGGATGCCAAGTCCCTTTAATGGGGAAAGAATAGTCTCTTCAACAAATGTTGCTAAAACAACAGTATTTCTACATGCCAAAGAATAAAGCTGAAAGAAAACAAAAACGCTAACTTCAAAAGATATATGCATCCCCCCCATGTTCATTACAACATTAGTTACAATAGACAAGATACAGAAACAACTTAAGTGTCTATTAATGGGTGAATGAATACAAAAAATGCAATGTGTGTGTGTGTACACACACAATGGAATATTATTCAGTTATAATAAGAATGAAATCTTATCATTTGCCACAGTATGGATAGACATTGATAGCATTATGCTAAGTGAAGTAAGTCAGACAAAGAAAAATAAATCTCAGTTATATGGGGAATCAAAAACAACAACAAAAAAAGACCCAAGCTCATAGATACAGAGAACAGATTGATGGTTGCCGGAGATGGGGAGTACTGGGTGAGGGAAATGGGTAAACAGGTCAGTCAAAGGTATAAATTTCCAGGTATAAAATAAATAAGTCATGGGGATGTAATGTACAACATGGTTACTGTAATTAATAATACTCTATTGCATATATAGTTGCTGAGAGAGTAAATCTTAAAAGTTCTCATCGTAAGAAAAATTTTGTAACTATGTACGGTGACAGGTATTAACTAGACTGACTATGGCAGTCATTTTGTAGTACATATAAATATTGAATCATTATGTTGTATACCTGGAATTAATATAATGTTCCAGGTGTATATTCAGTGTACAATATTTGATATGTCAATTATACCTCAATTGAAAGGACAATATTAAAAAAATAATAGTTGAACCCTACTTCACACCTTATACAGATATTATCCTGTCATAAAAAGGAATGAAGTTCTGACATGTACTACAACATGAACCTTGAAAACATATGGTAAGTGAAATAAGCCAGACACCAAAGGATAAATATTATACAATTCCAGTTACATGCAATATCTAGAACAGACAAATTCAAAGAGACAGAAAGTAGATTAGAGTTTACCAGAGGCTGAGAGTTACTGCTTCATGAAACAGAGTTTCTATTTGTGGTAACAGAAGTTTTGGAAATAGTGATGATAGTTGCATATCATGTGTAAATAATACCGTGAAACTCTGCGTTTTAAAATTATTAAAAAGACAAATTTTATATGTAGTTTGGCACAAAAAGAAAAACTTTCTTAAAAATAAAAGAACACCTGGCTGGTGCAGCTCAGTGGATTGAGCGCGGGCTGCAAACCAAAGCATTGCAGGTTCAATTCCCAGTCAGGGCACATGCCTGGGTTGCAGGCCCAGCAACTGCACGTTGACGTTTCTCTCTTTCTCTTTCTCCCTCCCCTCTCTAAAAATAAATAAATAAATAAACAGCTAAAGAAAACCTCCCTGAGAAAGCTTTGAGAATATAATGGAATAAATAGACCTAAACACAGAAAAAGAATTTTTGACAAGGGGTGTTAAATTTTTTATACTGTCCAGTTATTTTTAATTTAACCAGTCTTGGGAGAAAATGTTTTTAATTAACTTATATGATTAGCTGATATGCATAAGAATCACCTGGAAATGCATTTTTCTAGGCCCGATCTAGAGATATTCTTCATCAGTAGGTCTTGATTACAGCCTAGTACTTCGCATTTTTAACAATCTCACCAAGGAATTCTGATCGTAGTGGTAAATGACTTACACTTCAGGAAGTATTGTGTATGGTTACAAATATAGGTCAGAAAACCTGGGTTCAATCCTGACTGTGCCCTTTATATGTAACCCTGAATAAGTAATTTCTTTGTGCTTCAGTTTTCATATTTGTAAAATAGAGATAATACTAGTGTTTTTTTAAAGATAAAATAAGATATATCTTGTAAAGTAACAAGTATAGTGCCTTGAACTTAGAAATGAAGTCCAAAAAATAAGTTAGCAATATATTTTATTACAATCCCACTGTCATCATCCAAAATAATCAATTTAGATAAAGTTAGATAAATAAAGGTTCATTGACCTCTTTACCCTTTTCTGTAAAAAATACAATCTCTTACAGGTAGTGACTTTCAGCTAATTTTTTAGCAATGGAATTAATTAAGAGTGCATTTGTGGCCCTTGAGAATATAGTGTTAATAGAGTCATAAGGCAGAGATCTGAATAAAAGGGCTTAATTTCAGTATGGAGGAAGTGGAGGTTAGCTTAGACCATTATTTTGAGCAATGGTTTGTAGAAAAATAAAATATTTACTAAATTGAATAAAAGGGAAGCTAAGCAGCATCAGGGGCCCAGCAAATCATGTATTTATAATATTAACCATCAATACTGCTGTAAGCTTTCTATAGCATTCACAGCTTAGACCAGAGTAAAAAATCCAAATAGGTAGGAAATACAGGATTGCACATTAGAAAGATGTGTGTGGCAGAGGGTTAAGGGGCTGAGGTATTTAACTTTCTTGTCTTCTTCAGTGTTCCCAGCTTTATTGAAATATAATAAACAAAGTTGTATATATTTAAAACGTATGTTATTGAATATATGTGTACATTGTGAAATAAGTACCACAATCAAGTTAATTAATATATTTATCACTCACATAGTTTCCTTTTTCTCTGGTGGTAAGAATGCATACGATCTACTCTCTTAGCAAACTTCAAGTATACGATAAAGTGTTTTTAACTATAGCCACTATGTTGAACATCAGATCTCCAGGACTTATCTTACAATATAAATAAAGGCTTGTACTCTTTAACAAGCATCTCCTTGTATCTGCCATCCAACTTTCTCAATGATTTAATTGAATTGAACCATAAAGGCTATGGTTGGAAGTGAAAGGAAAACTGAAAGATAAGCATATTGTACTTGGATCTAGGGATGGATGATCATTAGATAAGGGTTTTTTATTATATTTACTCATTCATCAAATATTTGTTGAGTGCTTACCATACTGCAGACACCATGCTAGTTAACTTGAGTTATAACAGTAAGAAAGATTGGCACTGTCGTTGCCTTCATGGAACTTAAAATTTGGTGAGGAACACAGATGTCAAACAATTGGAAGTTACAGAAAACGAGAAATCAGGATCTTTAAAGGCCATCATGCTTTTAGAGGTTTCGTCTCCCCTCCCACTACATCCACAGTGCCTGCACAGTCAGTATGATAATCATCATGGGTCACCTGCCAGAGAATCCTGACGGCATCCCTGGGCTTCTTACCTGCTCTCCTTCCTTGGCTCCCCTCTTACGTATCTAGGGTGGCACAGAGGCAACTGAGTTAGTACTGGCTAACCACCTGCATCACAGTTTTGAATTAGAACCAACAATTCAGTGACAGTTTTTTGTTTGTTTGTTTTAATTCTCTACTCAGAATACATCTGAGGAACTTTATAGAGAAAAAGAAAATGATGTTAAATTGAAGTTAAGAATGGAAAATAATGGAAAGCAGTCAAGATAGGAAAAAACCCCAAACAGGAGCTGAATGATAGTTTTGAAAATTACATTACGTATGATTTTCTTGAGACTGAATTACTGTGAACGAAATGAAAAGCATAATAAATGGATACATCCCTCCCATGAATTTTATTTGTCTGAAGTATCTAATTTCAGTTGTTCTTCAGAGTAATAAGACTTTCTTTTTGAGGAAGATGAGAGAACTCTGAATTTCAGAGTGAGTGTTTTCTAAGCAAATTGGAAAATGCACCTAAAATCCAAAACTTTTAGCATGTAGCTTTCTCAAGAAAAAAGATACTCATACTTAACATATCATAAGTATGTGCCCTGAGATAAGGGAATCTGGCAAAAAAAAAAGTCAAATCTTAAACAATTTTTTTGTGTGCCAGACCAATGGGATTCTAGTTTCCTTGTAAAAAGTATCTTAGAAAACTAACCTAGACATTTTTAAAATACTAGATGCTGGGTTTTTACTGACAGTGAAGGGTTTATGCAAGGAGGATCATGATTTCAGATTTCCTAAGTTGTACTAGAGTGGCCTTTGGCCCCTAGTGCAGAACTGGCAGCAGTCACTGGGTAACTGGATGCAGTGCTCTCCAGCATCTGCACAGTTCTCAAGGGCCATTGTAAGATGAAGGATTGGATCCAGGTTAGTCCAGCCAGAGGTAAATCTGTTTAAAAAAGGAGTAGTGTTCTATAAAACATGAATGGCACCCACTGATACTTTCACTCACCACTGAAAGAAGGAGCAACAATAACTGAAATTTTGTAACACGATGACCTTGAGAAATGTACAGGCAGAAATAAGAGATTGTTGGTTTTCAATATAAGTAAATTAGTAAAGGAAAGTAAGGATGATATTAAAGACTATGTGACATGGTCACCATGTCATTCCAGTCCTCCCAGGAAAAGGGATGTAGTAACAAGGTAATGGGCCTCTGGGCCTCTAGGATTCCTTCTTTTAAAAAAAAATTATATTTGTCATTGTATTTTTCCCTTTACCATTTAGCCCCCTTATACCTCATCCCACCCTCAATCACCATACTGTTGTCCATGTCCATGAGTCCTGTTTCCTTTTTGCTCAGTCCCTCCACCCCCTAACCTCCCCTGCTCCACTAGTTGTCATCTGTTCTCCATCTGAGTCTGTCCCGATTTTCCTTGTTAGTTCAGTTTGTTCATTAGATTCCACATATGAGTGAAATCATATGGTATGTGTCTTTCTCTGACTGACTTATTTCACTTAGTATAATGTTCTCCAGGTCCATCCATGCTGTTGCAAAGGGTAAAGTTTTCTTTCTTTTTATGGCCAAGTAGTATTCCACTGTGTACATGTCCCATAGTTGTTTTATCCACTCATCTACTGATGGGCGCTTGGGCTGCTTCCATATCTTGGAGATTGTAAATAACGCTGCAATGAACACAGACTATATCTTCTTTACTGAAAGGTTTTTAAGCAGCCCTGTCTATTATTCTTGTGCATCTAGGTTAACACACCTTTGAACTATCAGAAATAATCCTGTTTTCCAGACCTCTTGAAGAAATAGTCACACAAAAGGGAGCACATAATCTCATTAACTATCTTGTACTTTGCTTTCTGTCACCTTCAGGTAATCTTTTTTACATTCCCCCCTGAATCCCAAACATGTAAAAGAAATAGCAAAACTCATTTCCCAGGGCATTTGAGATCATGCTTCATCATGCTTTCCCAACATGCTGGTTTGGCTCAAATAAAGTCATAAAATTCTCTACAGGTTTGGACATTTCTTAGTTCTACAATCTGCTGCTGCTCAGTGGGAATGAGAAATAGCAAAACTCTAAAAAGACAGGATGGTTGATAATGTGTATTGTGTTTGTAAAGGAATAAAGGAATGGAAGAGGAGGAACATTTATATCTCTAACCACTTTGAAAAATGTAAAGAAAAGGAAGAGAAAACAATGTAAAATTCTATTAAAAGAAATAAAGTTCTGAAAATTACTTGTATTAAAATGTTTGATCTTGCTAAGTATTATTTTTTCTTTATTCATAGATTAATGGTGTTGCTATCTAAAGTTGAGAAATCAGCAGAAGAAATTGTGAAAATAATGCGAGGTTTAAGTAGTATACAGGTTTGCGCTTTTTTTTTGGCCTATTTTATATTTCTACTATCCCATTTGAAAAAGAATAGGAAAGAAGCCCCAGTTTGGAGAATCCAATTCAGTACTTTGCAGAGCATGTGTTTAATTTACTTTTCATGGGAATTTCTTTTTTTATATGGTCATTAATAAACCATAATATTTTAGTAATACCTGGCTTTTCACATTTAAAAGTAAATTTGTAGATTATGTTTAGTCTTTCTAATTAATGAATTGTTTTTATACAGGCATTTAAGTGTTGCAGTAGTTGATGTACCAGGAAATGTTAAATTCCCTACCATGAAGTTTTAATTTTTCAGATTAAGGAAACAGTATTTTCACTAGATTTATCAGTAATATTTGAAGAGAATTTAACTAATATAAAGTTACTTTCTTTTAGGCTTTGGAGGGCAATAGAAAGCTTGAAAATCTCATTGGTATCTCCTGTGGATCATGTTTCTTAAAAAGAGAAATACAGAAAACAAAAGAACTGAGTAAGAAGACCTTATGAGTTTACAGTGGTGTCTGTCCATTCCCTGTTGGTAAAGTTAGATATGTATTTTAATATTTTCAGCTTTAGAGATAAGCCTGTTAATTTTTCCCAGATTTAATTTGATAGACCTCTTTATATGCATCACTACTGGACACGTGATAGAAAGAGTAGCAGCCACAGATCGTTTACCAGGTCATGTTATTTCAGGGATTCCTCTTGAATGTAAAGGGGGAGAAGGTACCTTCAAAACTGCAGTTGGGCTTTTTTTTTCTATAGTGCTCATTTCTTTAAGTAAGATATAATGTATTGCATTTTGTACTTGATACCTATACATATATATATATTACTATGAATTGTATTTTGATAGTTTCAAGACGAGAAATTGTTCACATTCCACATTAACTCTTAACATGGGTTGTTTTTCTTCTAGTGACAAAAGTAACAAAACAAAAACTGTTTGAGAAGAAGAGCTCAGAACTTTCTAACAAAGGTAAAAAGTTGTGTTTTAACTTATTATATGAAAAGATCCTTTCATCTCATTTTACAACTTGAAACCAATCATCATGGGTCTTTTAGTGTACTCTTAAAAGACCAGGAATCTCAACTGAAATTGCAGTTAGCAGAAGACCATATCTGATGAGCTCAACTTCCCTGATGACTAAACTTGTAAAATATGTTTTGAAATATAAGTTTCTGTTTAAGATTTCATTTTTGTAGTTTCATTAAAAGTTCCTTTTGAGATTTAGACAAATGGGGCAACAATCCATTAATAAATAGCAGCTTTTAATGGTAAATTGGAAAGAGACACACAAAGTTACTTTGTAACCAATGCTTTGAGAACTTCAGTATCATTAATGATGTTAGATCTACTGTAAATTGTCATCCCACTGAGCATTTCAGTGTGGGTAAGTAAATTAGCAGGATTTAAGTTCCCATAATACACGCATGTGAGTGCCATTTGGCAATCTCTACAGAGGTAGGCCTTGAATTGGGTAGCCATGGTTTAGTCTATCATTTTGTGTACCAATGACTACCATTTATTAAGGACCAATAATTACTATGATTATTACTAGAGTCAGCAGATCTTTATAGCAACTCTGTAAGATAGTTGTTATTGTTGTTGCCATTATAGATAAGGAACAAGGACACAGAAAATGTTAAGTAAACTTGCCCAAAGATTCTGCTATTTTAGTGCCAGAGAAGGAATTCCAACTAAAGACCACTCTGACCTCAAAAAGTATGATCTTTTCATTATATCATGTTGCTTTTTCCTAAAGCAAATCAAATCACCCAGGCATCCCGGCTTTCAGATTCTGATGAGACATAACTGAAACTGGTTCAACCAATCTATCACAGTAGACTGTATTTAGGATCTTTAACAGCTGGCAGTGAATTTGCAGCAGAAAGTGCTGGGATTCCCTGCAGGTCAGCTCCAAAAGCCAACTAAGTCATGGCAGGCCAGCAGCTATGGCCCTTCTTTCCTAAAACTCACATGGGAAGGCAGCTGGGCAGGCTAGGCTGCCTGAGCCATTCAGCAAAGCAGCCAACTTCCGTTGTGACCCCAAGAATTTAAGAAGACTTGAGACTTCTTTCCTATGCTGTATAACTTGATACATGAGTTACATTGGTTTCAATCTCTCCAAACATGACAAGTTTTAGAGGATCATAGTGGGAAGTTGGAATGTTTATTATTTCCCAGTTGGAAGAAATCTTGAGTCTATATATTCTATGCCAATTGTATGGTTTTCTTTTAAATCTGTAATTCCCTAGAGCTAATTAGAATTAGGCTTTACATAGTTAGCTTTTCCCAACAGTTTTGAGAAATGAGGTAGGTAAAATTGTAGAACAAGTTAGTGAATTGTTACTGCTAAAAATTAATGAGGAAAAATTTTCTAAAAGCATTGTTTCCTTCCCTAAACATTTATTAAAACATTAAAGTTATTTCCATGTGTTAAAACAGTTCTCATCTTTCAGTTATCCAGTAGATACTGATTCCTTGTGTGTTTATGCATAATCGGCCTTAAATCAATTTTCTAATATTTTAGGCATTAAAACTGACTTGCCCATTCCCAGGTTTCCTTAAGGACTAAGTATTTCTTCATGCTAAAGAGGATTGTATCACTAAATCATGTTTTCAAATTCCTAATAAGCATTGATTATTTATTATGGTTTAAATGAAAACTGAGTTAATATATAATAATATATGTTATATATCAATATATATTATATATCCTACAATATATATATATCATTTCTATTTCTGTTTCTTGGCAAAAGCTACATTATCTTTTTACATCTTGAGGTATTCAAACCTTCATTAGCTTTTTAACTATCTTGAAGTATAGATTGAAAAATATAGACCTGAAAAATGGATTGAAGCATATTTATAATTTGAGTTTCAGCTATATATTTTTACTGGGTGTTCTTCCCTCTTTCTCTGGTCTCTAATATTATATGTAATTTTCTTTATTTTGGTGGCATTTTTATTTTGTTTCATTTTTCAGTCAGAGATGATGAACACCAACACATGCACATATTTATGTAAATTTTTGCTAAGTTAGTAACTTTTGTCCCCTTGTAATCATACATTCATTTTAAGAGGACTTTGTTAGTTTTTCTCAACATCTCAAACTAGTTTGCTTTATATGTTTCTTATTTGGGGATCTGGCCTTTTTATAGGAATTTCTACTTTACTCTTTTCTTTTAGTATGCTACTACCCAGAGCTCTCTAAATGTAAAAGTGTCCTGGGAATCTTCTTAATATTAGAAATTATATAGTTAGGAATTATGTAATATAAAACTATATAATATGTATTAGATTTCTTTTATTAGGTAATTATAAAATGAAAATAATTTGCTTCACCATCAAAGAATGTCCAAGTAGACAATACCAGGAGAATTCCAACACTTATGCTATAGTTGCCCCTTCAAATTGGTCCCTTGGCTGTATATTGTTTAAAGGTTCAGTGCTGGCTTGTTTAGCATCATTTGCAGTCTTTAATACTGCCAGAGGAGTGTACGTATAAAAATAACATTGTAGAGGTTTAAATAAAAAGACATCTGACACACATTCTTAAGGCTTTATATAACTTATTTAAACAAAATTTAAAAGGTACCCCAAGATTTTTATAGTTTTCAGAAGAACTGAACCTTGCAAATTAAGGAATGCCTTGATAGAGTGTACAAATAAAAGAGGATATCCTCTGCTAACTACACATTTCTTAAACAAAGGAAGGTTTGTTTCTTTTCTAAGTTACTTAGGAAGTAAGCCTAACTTTACTTTACTTAATAATATTGGCTTTATGACTATTAGCAAAATAATGAAATGAAAGGTTCTTTTTGTTATATTTGAATGTGAATTTTCATAATTATTTTTAATTTGTTATGCTGAACACTTAAAACATATGACCATTCAATGGGTTGATAGAAATGGAATGTCACATTATCATCACATGGTAAGGCATGAAATTTATTTACTTTATATAATCAACCTCAGCTTAAAACAACTTGATACAAATATTCCTAAGTCAATAGGTTGCATTATGTAGTGCTTAGTATTTTCCTTTTTTCTGGAGATATTAGAAAATGCCACCATTGTCTGTCTGTGACTAGTACTTCCAGTAAACAAAATATTTTTGAAAAGAATGTAAGCAAATTATAGAGCAGTTGCCAAGAAAGAAATCTAGACACTTAGCTTCAGTCCAAAACATATTTTATCATTTTTGAGAACAATTGTGTAGGTTGTAGTATGCATATTTTAAATGAAATGTTAACCATCTGAACTTTACATTGTTCAAAAAAGTTGATTGTTTTAGCTCTTTATAATTCAACATATTTCAGAATTTCTATGTCTAGCCTTAAAAAGGAAAGCACAGACTATAATGTTTCTATTTTCTTCAGCTAACTTACTCTCTTCTTACATTGCAAAATTCATCTTGGTTACAGGATTTTAAAGTTTTCAAATTTTTGGACCCCAGAACAAATTTTAAACTCCTCCTGCTCTGAGACGATGAAATAGTTTGATGCTGCCTTTTCATTCTAACCACCCACTGAAGTATTTTTCAACTTAAAAATATGTTGTTCTTTCCCCTACTCAGTCTTGAAAAAGTATTCATCAGATCAGCTAAATAATTTTACTGCTAGAAGACTACTACCCTGTTAGTTTTTTCTGTTGTATGTTAACATTAAACCATATCTTTTTTCAAACAAATACTTCAGTTTTAAAAGCACTGAGGCTTGAAGTTTAAACCTTAAGAGTTTTAGGTAAAACAACAAAAATTCCCCTAGGCTCTAACATTTCTCAGTTTATCTAAAGATAAAAAAAAATGGAGATAACAGTTTTGGTCACACAGATACACATTCATGTACAATTGTAGCCCTCTGCTCCTTACAAAGGTTCAGCTATCATTTATGCTGAACCAGGTCATACCTTTCTGCTCAGTAACATTAATGTTCTTTTACATCATTCATCACTGTTTGGGGGATACATTTTGACTGTTTACTTGAGATTTTTCCGGGACTTAAAAAAAACAAACTGCTTTACTTCTTTTCAAAGGCTTTTAAGGAATATTTTTCATTATTAAAATTTTTTTTATACTTTACCAGAAATGTGGCAATTTTTATCTTTTAAGTAATCAGTAAAAAAATTTAAACCACACACTTGAACTCATTTAATAGCAATTATGTGTTTAAAAGGTATAAATAACTTGCTATCAGACATTAACAAATATCCAGGTGCTCTGTATGTGCTGATGACAACAAAATTGAAACGAAAGACTGTAATAATTCTGACTGGTTTTCTCTGCAGAAGATATTGATTATTTGTGTGTGGTGAGAGATTTGGAAAATTCAATTAAAGGAGTTGTGCAAAGGTTTCATAAATTTTCTTTCTACAGCGTGTACACAGACATTGTTGCGTATTAAATCAATGCAGCACTTCACAATATATTTTCTTTGAAACATAAAAATAAATAACATTTAAACAGTTCTGCTTACTACAGAAACAAATTTTATTTTCTGTGAAGCATTTAGTCATGTGCTATCACTGACTCATACACATTTGCCAGCTGTAACAAATTTTATAGACATTTTCTCCAGAGACATATCTCACATACTATGAATTTTTAAATGAGCAAATGGTGAAGAAGGGATGTCAGCAATATAAAAATTGATCAGCTAAAAGATAAAAGCATAAGTAAAGAGATTTGTATGGTAGTCTTAATAGGTTTTATTAAATAAAAATACTATAAAAAGACAGTAATGAACAGACTGAAGACTAACTGTTCTTGAGGTGGAGAAAAATTATCCTGGCACATTTAGTAGAAATTGGTTTTCTGTCACCTTACAGGTGAACTTTTTCTTTTTCATTTTAACTCTTAGAATAGTCAGAAAAGCTCCTCAAAAATGAATTAGTTAAATTCTCTAAGTGGTTTATATATTTTAAACACATACACATAATAATAAAATAAATATTTATAGTGTTATATAGCTAATTATATACTTTAAAGTAGGACTTGTGTAATAAGTAAATGTTAGGTGATTTTTCCTTTAGCTCAGACCTCACATAGAGGAAAGTAGTCATTCCTACTGTTCACAGCATATGCTAGACTCCCTCTCTTTTGGGACTCCAGGCCTCTCTGCTGCTTCCCTCTCTACAGGGATTGCTTTCCTCTCTGTCTGGTGGCCTTCTGTCTCATCCTTGAAGGTCAGTCTCAGCTCTTCCATCCTCTGTGAAACTCTCCCCAGCTCGCCTTGGTGAAGCTAAATTGCTTCATCTTCTAGGCTTCTACATTTGTCTGAATGTTTATAAACGTATCATGTTGTAGTGTTGTGTACTGTGATTGTCTGGGTGCAAGGCACTTTCTGGGCCCCTCCTTGGCAGACAAAAGTTCTGTCTCTGCATCTCTATATTATAGCCCTGGAGTGTACTCCAGAACCCGGATAGAAGGTCCACAATCCATAGTCAGTGAATGAAGAAAAACAAATGACCGCTATAAGAATTTTTAAAGGAATTACCTAAATATCTTCAAATACTTAGAAATTGCTGTCTCCTTACATGACTCATTCACTTAATATTTATTGACTACCTGCTAATAAGCCAGGCCACTGTCCTAGCATTGGGATACACTAGTGAAGGGACACACTCCTGCCCTCAGGATTATAGACTCTAGCACAAAGGACAAGAAATTATAATAAACCCCTGCACTTATGTTATAATAAGTTTCCTGGCAGTTTTCATTCTAAATTTTTAAATGTACATTCTGGCACAGAATCAGGCAAATCAGTAGTCTGATTAAGAATTTATAGCCTCAAAGCTGCTATTGATACTATAAAATAAAACTTTATGTTTGTGTTCTTTATTTTAATTTCATTTTGATTCAGCATTTATCCTGTGACATATACTGTGACAACTTATGTTGAACTGTTTCCTAAAATATTCTTTTTTCTTTCATACAGAGTTACATCATCTTGACAGCTATGAATTCCTTAAAGCCATTTTAAATTGAGGTACTGTCTCACCTTTCTAATTAAGTATAAAGTTTCACTGCTTTGTTCTGGTGGAAACATTTTAATTACATTATCATATTCGGTGGTGTCTGTCTACAGAGAAAACAGTGCACTTTGAAGCGTTAGTCAAAATTATACTTAACCCGTTCTTATAAACAGTAGGAGGGCAGCCTGATAAGGCTATGCGAGTGAGAGGCTGGGTAGGAAAGGACACTGTTGGTCTGATAGGCCAGCTTTGAAAATCAGAGTGGGCATGTGTATGAGTGTAAGGAGGACCCTTAATTAAGCACCTTTAGAATAAACAGCTTACTAGATACTGACAAGTGGGGTATAGTTTCTATAGGGCACATCTGACTAAACAGGATACAACAAGACTATGAATTTACAAATGTGCTAAGTTGATTAAATAATTACATATTAACTAGTTGTACCTTGTCTTCAAAACAGTTCCTGTGGATACAGCAAGACAAGTAAAATATATATTTATAAGTAGCTTATTATAATAGCTACCTAGGAACAGTGTGATTCATGATGTGATATTAGTGTTTACAATACCTGTAATTGAAGGTTCACATTAAGAATTAGCATTATCCCATTCTTAGTAGCATTAGTATTAATTTTCCTAGAGGCCAACCAGATATTGCCTGCTATCTGTTAGGAATAATGTAAAATGAAAGAAGTCTATTCTATCCTGAAAATAAATTTCTTTGGAAATGGTATCTCAAGTGATTAATATCAGCTTCATAACAAACTAGATTTGCAAAGCATCTTATATAGAAAATTATGTCACTTTCATTCTTTAGAATGTTCATTCTGTTATACACAACAAATAATAGCTTATAATAATAGCTAACATTTATTGAGCACTTTCAGTACGCCTGGCACTTCATACATATCCCAGTTAACCTTCACAACTACTCATGTGAAGTAGATAATAGTTACTGTCTTCATAGGTAAGGAAATGGAAAAACAAAGAGGTTGAGTACCTTGTTCCAGAATCACCTAGGAGACAGCCAGGACAGTAACCTGAGTAGCTGGCTCCGGGCTGTACTTGTGCCCACGATACAGCAGTAATATGTGAATGTTAGGTTTCACTGCTGGTCAGATGTTTTAGATTCTATTAAGTAGTAAGGATATAATATGTATATACATGCATACACATATTCATTATAGGGTTAAATGTTTTATAAAATTTCTGATCTGTGAAACTCCAACAGGGTACTTCCAAAAAATTTGGAAGAATTAAGGTTGACCTACCAGTCAATTTCCCTTTTAGTGGGAAGCAACAGAGAGAACTATCAGTGAAATGAAACTTGACTTACCTTTGAGGTAGTTCCCTGGGTGCTTTTGACAGTGCTTTCTTCTCACTTTGGGTACTTTCTTCATGATCTCCTCCATTCCCTTGACTTTAGTTCTTACCTTAATGTATATTATGGTAAGAACTAAAGTCTATTTGTGATCCTCCTCCTGATGTAAACCCAAATCTATTTGTGATCCTCCTCCTGATGTAAACCCACATCTCAGCCACTATATATTGTCCCCAAGTATGCTGATCCATCATCCTCCCTCAGCTGTTCTTTATTCTCCCTTTCTAGGGTTTACATTCATCTCATGTTAAAGCTCAAAGCTTCAAAATTCTTGTCTTTTTAAATCCTCACATCCAAATTCCTGCCATGTCATATCACTTCCAAAAATGTTTACTTCTCTTTCCATGCCCACTGCACTAGTCTGTTTCTTCATTACCTCTCACCCAGATTACCCTCATCCCTGCTGCACCCTGCCTCTCTGCCCTTTGGTCCCTTTCCTCTACATCCTGACCTGCTGCTGGACAAATTATGCTTTAGAAGGCACCACTCCACCATATTCACAGAAAAACCCAAATTTATACTGACATGCAGAACTCCCCCTGATCTGACCACAATTTGCCTTTCCAGGTTGTCCAGTTTGTGCCTCAGTCACTCCAGGTTCCTTGCCGTTCTCCAGACAAATTCCTCAGAAAGTGCATTTCTCATTTCTTTACTATTGTTCTTGTCCCCTCTTCTTGACACACTGTTCACCCCAGCATTGTTGAAATTTTGCTCATCATTCAAAACCTGCTTATAGCTCCCCTTACATTGCAAAGCTTCTTCAGATTCCTCTCTCCCCCTCCCCTCATTGCTCCCTTGTGCATTTGGCATAGCTGCCCAACTGGCATGACTACAGGAAGGTATTAAACTCCCTGATTTTGTCCTGGGAACCTCTCTGTTATTGTGCTGATACTACAGTAGCCAACTTCTCTGTCCGCACATCAGCTCCTGCCTTCCGTCAGGGGAACCACCTTATACAAATTTACTCCCAGAGTCTTTAGAAAGTGAAACTTCTATAAAGTATTATAATAAGAGAGATTGTCAGTAAAGGAGCAAGCAACCCATAATCCACAGACCGTACCAAGACCAGCAAAAGGGTGTGGGGGGAAAAGGCATGATTTTGGTTAATGTTAATGAGATATTGTAGGAGAGAGTGGGGTGCTTTTTATCTAGAAATGATGTGGATAAATCACTCAGTTAGCAGAAGTATAAACACAGCACTGCACAATGCCAACCTTTTGAAACCTAGTAATCAAGCTAAGGACACAAGATTTATATTATATCCATGAAATAATAATATAAGGCAAGCTATGATAGTGATACAAGTATGGACCCTGCTTCTTTTCAGGGTTTGGGGGCAACAAAATTCAAAAAAGGATTGAGTCCAAAGAGGATCGAAATATCCACTTGATTATTGGAGGAACTGATAACCTCCAGTCTGGCAGGCTCTCTGGTAGAAGCTCAGGGTCACCATTGTGGGCTGTGCCTGAAGTGGTGTGTGGGAGCTCCACTCTCCCACACTGAATCTGAGCCTTGAACCCTGTGTGCTCTCCTGAAGCTGAGGAGAAAGCTGTATCTTTGAAATAAACCCCATGTCCATGCACATCTCTGACAGTTAGACCACACACCTGCCTTACATGTTCTGTGGCAGATGAAGATAGGATGGACCGGTCTCCTTACAACCCGAAATTAGGAAGCACAAAGGTCCGTTGGACTTGAGAGCAGACAGTGAAAGGGAAACTGCACAGTGGGGAAGATGGTTACGTAAGAGTAGTGACCTGTCGTGTTAGTGGTAAAGTGTGGACCAGTATTCTGGTCTCTGACCAGTCAAATGTGTCATTCTTCCCTGGGGTGTAGAGAGCAAGAATTAACAGAAGTTCTTCTTCTGCAAACTAAGAAGTGTAAAACATCCCTCTCTCGGTACCAAATGAAGAATATAGGAATACACAACAGACATAGATCACCTCAGGATGGGGTGATTAGGTCGCTATTTAAGGGTTCATAATTTTAAAATCAGTTCTAGTTATTCCACTAGATTGTCCGACAGAGAGCCATCCAGATTCGTAATGGAAACTTTGCCCTTTACCAGGAATTTGGAATTTGAAAAGTACGTAATTTTAATGGGCTGTGTAAACATACTAAGCAGAGAAAAATGTGAACAGAAAAGCAGAATGATTAATCGGTGGACTCCAGCCACCACTGACAGTTGTGATCACCAGTCACAACTGTCAACTCAGGAGTTCACACTTCATCCATTAGGCAGAAGTGGGTCAGTGAAAATTATTAGGGAAGGAGTAATCCAAAATATGTTTTAAAAACAACTGTATGAACAGTAAGTCCTAATAAAATACTGCTCATAAACTGTATCACTGTATCTAAATTGCTTTTCATGACCTGGTTGGTGTAGCTCAGTGGATTGAGCATTGGTCTGCAAACAGAGAGGGTTCCAGTTCAAATCCCCATCAGGACACATGACTGAGTTGTGGGCCAGGTGCCCAGTTGGGGTGTTTAGGAGGCAACCCATGTCAATGTTTCTCTTTCTCTCTTTCTCCCTCCCTTCTCTCTCTCTAAAAATAAATTTAAAATTTTTTTTAATTTAAAAAATAATTGCTTTTCATTTGTGTAAAAATAGTATGGCAGCAAGAGAAAACAAACATACTGCTACTCCCTATCATGGACCTCACATTGATTAGAGTATTTATTTTTGCTGGATCCTGAATTTGGCCTCACAGTCCTTTCTACCACAATTTTCCTACATGAAGTTTCAGTTGATGAAACATCTTTACAGGGCCTGACATTGTAATAGAGAACAGGGTTTGGGTTAAATGTCCAGCACTATCACTTAGCTTTGTGGCGTTAAACAAGACATTTGGTTCCCTTAAACCTTAATTACAAAACGGGACTGATAACATTACTTATGAGATTGTACAAAATAATCAGTGCTCCCCCATAGTAACTATTTAATAAATCAGCCTTCTTTTCCTCTGTAGTATTATCATGAGTTCTGATAACTGTGTTTCAACAATGTATAAGGATATTAAGTGAACAGCAGAACTGCTTAGATCTTCTATTGGAATTAAGACCAGACTTGAAGAGTTGGCAAAAGTTGATTGTCTAATTGGCAACCTATCTTATTGTAGGACAAGAATATATGTAGACTCAAAAACAGCAACTTCTTCATAGCTGCTGATACAATCAAGGAAGGAGTATTTCAGGAGTGAACGGTCCACATGCCCTAAGGAAACATGCCATCAGTTGCCAAGGACTGTTTCTTTAAAATCTTCCTTTCACACAAGGTTCCTAAGGTCAAATAGACAAGAACTTCTGCCACCACTAGGAGGCCCCAGAGGGACACACTCTGAGTGGGAATGTCAGTAAACACTGTCTTTCTTAGGGGGGTGGGGGCAGCTGTTGGAGGGAACACCTGCTGAAAGGCCCTTAAGTCTTATAGACAAAAGGCATGTAGATTTTGCCGTTTTGGGTAGGTCATATTGAAGTTTTAGAACACTCAGAAATATGTCAAAATCCACATTCAAACAAAATAAAGAGTGCTGGTCAGAGTAGTCATATTAACGATTGTTTGCGAAGGTAAATCTTGCTTAGGAGGCTAAAAGAAGCAATTGAGAGATCACTATTTCCTAAACTAGGTATGAAATTACATGGTAAATAGGTGTTTAAACCATTTCTTACGTCATGTATGACATGCATATTAATTTGGAAACTAATTCTTAATAATTTAATAACATTCACCTTTTATATCTTATAGGCATTCAGAAGAAATGAACTCACTATGAACACCAACTTCTGCATCTGCCTGATCATATTTAAAGGAACAGAAGAAATGTTTGTAATTAATCTGCCCAGTAAATACCAGATCATAGCACTAGGCAGGTGCATGTCTAGATAAAATTTCTTGCAGCTAATTTAAACTTTCTACACACACCAGTAGATAATCTCAATGTAAATAATACATTTCTTCTTGACCCTTTAATGAGTAAGTTAACATGTAGACAAGGATTTTTGCCTTATATTCTTTATTATGTATGTATGCTTCTGTATATTTTTAGCATTTATGAATTAGATTTAATAAAGCATTTATGAAAATGACACCTTTGGTAAAGCTATATATTTTAAAACTCATTAAATCTAATAGTGAGTGGTATCAGGGACCAGTTTTTCCATTTAAAGCCCCAGATGTGTATTAATAAGATTCTTTTTAAAACCTTAAAAATTTATCTAGAAGTTTATTGCGTAGGTTCTGTCTCAGGGATGACTTTTTATTATACTGTAGTTATTTCTATTGTAGAGAATAAATATTTTCAAAGTTTTAAAATTCTTACACCTTTTATAAAATATCAGAATGCATTTTTAATATTTAAATATGAAGTTGTTTTTAAACTGAACTACACAGACTCCTAAATTTAAAGAAGAGAATTTCCTTACAGGGTAGTATAAGAGCCCCTCCAAATTATTCTGAAGCATTAATTTAGACTTCCATTTCTGTGTGGCGGTGTTTTGCATCACAGTGTTTGTGCTGCCACTGAGGAAAGGGGGAGAGGGAAGCAGAGAGTGTGCTACAACTCAGTAACACGGTTGTTCTCTGGGGGCTAAATGTCACTCCTCGGTACTTGCCCTAAATCTTCACAAAATTTGTGTAAGATATTACCATGTCATTTAATTCAGTGTCATAAGAATAAAAATACCATTTGAAAATCTGAAACAAAATCAAACAAATTAAGATTGAAAATAAGGATTTCCATTTAGAGAAATTTAAGATTCACCCCTTAAAACGAAAATGAGTTTTTAAAAAACTTAATTTAAATGACATAGATACTAAACAATAGCCCAATTAACTATTAAACCTAACTGCCTTCTCTTATTATTTTATTGGTACTATTTAAACATGATTTTTGAGATAATGTGTCTGCTGAATATTCAGAACACTTTGTGATACAGCCTTTATGATATTACCTAAAGTATACCAAAAAGGATAATTCTTTGTGTTCTAGCATTGAAAATCTTAGAATGTAAGCCAAAACATATAGATACCTACATTACTAAGGAAATAAAGGGTTAAGTAGATTGGTTTCATATGTAATCCAAGTTATGTAGGTATGTGTTTAATGCCATTAAATCAGTTACTGTATATTTGACCTCTTGATATCCTAAGCTTTTGCCTTTTAGAACAGCTGGGTTTGCTAAGAATCATTTCTCAGTTCTCTTCATTGTAGATCAGATGACTCTCGCTTTATCACCCTTGGAGGCCACATGAAGGACAAAGCAGAAAGATCCACACACAAAACTAATGTTTATATGGGGGTGGGGGACGGATACACTTGGCCCTGATTTTCCAATGAACATAACAGAAGAAAGACCAATTGAGACTTGAAACCACTGTTACTCCAACTGTTATTTAGTTACATCCTATCCATCTCTTACTCTCTTTCTGTTGAACAGAGAGGATCCTTTGGCTGCCCTGACTTTTGTAAATGTTTCACTCACTTAGTTGTGGTTTATCATTTGGACAGAATGCTACATCGGGGATTTTTTTCCCCTCTCTAAGGGCTCAAGAGATAATGACTTCTGTGTGTCTCATATTTGATACATGAACATACACCCTATTCTCTTCATTTTGAGAAGCAAACCTAAGCTTATTGGCAACACAGAAAACTGTATTTCTCAGAAACAGACCTCCCATATAAAATGAACTTCAGAATAACTTAGGAGGGTTCATTTTTGACAGGTATATAGTGAAGAAAGTGAGAAATAGTATTTTTTATAAAACCTACATATATTAAATGTAAATGTCCCTATAATCCTGAGTGTAGCTGAGAGAATTGCCTATTTATGTAATCTTAATTCATCACTGAACATTTTTGGTATTTTGGAACTTCTCAAAAGTTCAAAGTGGACTCTCAAACTGATTTCTAGCTGATATCGAGATACTTAAGATCATTGCTGAAAGTCTATATAAAAGCTACAATGTAACTCAATAAGATTAGATTAAATGATCTCAAAAATATTTTATTTACAGAATTTACCTCTAAGATACCTTGAATATGGGTGCATTCTATTTTACTAATGTTTATATAATACTTTTTCAAATAATTCTGTATTCCAGTTATTCTGAAGTTAGAACTTCATCGATTCAAATCAACTTTCTGTGTTAAACACAAGTATGGTATTACAAAAAAAAAAATAAATAGGGCTATACCAACCAGCCAAGATGCTGACATGTGGGCACTGATTACAGATGGTGACCATGGACAGCGATGTCCCTGCTGAATCAGCAGGGATTCAAGGCTGCTTTTCTCTGCTGACCTGCCCTTTGAGTCTTTATGCACATTTACTTTGAGAAATACTTTTTTGTTTTTCGCTTTGTCTAAACCCACTCCTTTATCAAACACATATCTTCTTGCATCAGCCTGCAGCTGTCCGTGTCTAAAGTGAGACTTTCTTTGTGTATGTGTTTGTCATGCACTGTTTTAAAATACACAGCCATTTATTTAATTTGCTTTAATGGCTGTCTTATGAAAGAAATATATTTGTCTAAAATATATGTCAATGGGACAGTGATTGTTTTATTTTTATCACAGACTAAAGAAAACATCTTTACATGAGAAACTACAACATGGATATAATACATTATTTTTACCAACTGAACACTAGAGTAAAGGTGGGCTTATGCTAATACAGAGTGATTCAGTATTAACAGGACCAAGATAACATGAAGCATGATATGAGGCAATGCTTATGGCACTGGTAACCTCGAACCATGTTATAACAAAAAAGAACAGAAAGATGAAATCCTGCAATAAGGGCATTTAACTTCAAACGATCCAGGAAATTTAGAACCTGGTGCTCATGAGTAATAACGAGACTTCAGTCAAACCACTTAGATTTTAATTCAGGAAAATTCACTGTTTAATTGTATTACAGTAAATTAGCCATCTTGGAAATAAATAACAAAGTTTAATCTCAGCCTTGTTAAAAAAATTCAAATTTGCACAATGTAATAAGGCATGTTCAAACTTGAAGCACTTTAAATTGCCTTCTCATAGGAATTTAAAACATCACAAATTTAATACCAGAAATATAAATCCTAAAGAATGAAGCCATCACTTGCATTCTATTGTAAAATGTAAAGAAAACTACATTTAATTATTGAAATGAGTAATTTCCTTTAAAAAGGGGCTAAATTCTCATTAAACTCAGTGTATTTGTAGATAATTTTAAATTATATTTTACTGATTATGCTATTACAGTTGTCCTGACTTTTCCTCCTTTGCCCCCTCTACCCAGCACCCCCACTCCCTGAAGCACTTGTTCGTGTCCCCTGGTAATGCATGTCACTCCCCACACCCTTGTCCCTTGGTAATGCATGTAAGTTCTTTGGTGCTCCCTTTCCTACACTGTACTTTACATCCCATGGCTATTCTATAACTTCCTATTTGTATCTCTTAATCCCCTCACCTCTCACCCATTCTCCCACACCACCTCCCCCTCCTCTTTAACCTTTGGCATGTTAATTATGATGTGTCTTGGAGTGGGCCTCTTTGCATTCATCTTGTTTGGGGCTCTTCATGCTTTCTGGACTTGCATGTCTATTTTCTTCACCAAATCAGGGAAGTTTTCTTTCATTATTTTTTCAAATAGATTTCCAATTTTTTGGAAATCTATTTCTCTTCTCCTTCTGGCATCCCTATGAAGTGAATGTTGAATTGCTTGAAGTTGTCCCACAGGCTGTTTATCCTTGGTATTGGGGGGTGGGGGGGTTAATTCCTTTTTTTTCTTTTTGTTCTGATTGGTTGTTTTTTGGTTTCTTATGTTCCAAATCCTTTATTTGATTCTCAGCTTTATCCACTCTAGTGTTGTTTCCCTGTAAATTGTTCTTATTTCAATTAATGCATCCTTCATTTCTGACTTGATCTTTTTTATGCTGTTAATGTCCTCACTAAGTTCCTTGAGCATCCTTATAACCAGTGTTTTAAACTCTGCATCTGATTGATTGCTTATCTCCATTTTGTTTAGCTGTTTTTCTGGAATTTTGTTCTGTTCTTTCATTTGGGCCATGTTTCTTTGTCTCCTCATTTTGGCAGCCTCCCTGTGTTTGTTTCTAAGTATTAGGTAGAACTTCTCTGACTCTGTCTTGGTAGTGTGGCCTATTGTATTGTAGTAGGTCTAGTGGCACAGCCTCCCCTATCACCCAAGCTGGGTATTCAAGGTGCACCCTTTGTGTGGGCTGAGTACACCCTCCCTTTGCAATACAGCATTGGCTGTTGTTGGCAGATCAATGGGAAGGATTTACCCAAGCCAGGCAGCTGCAAAGATTGTCTGTGACCACTTACTATCTACCTCTGCCCTATGTGGAGGATCAGCTGTGCAGGGGCAGGATGGTGGTGCTCCAGCGTGGTCTGTAGCTGTCCACTGAGTACCCTGGCCCTGGGGTTTCCCAGGTGGTACAGGCCAAGGTCAGCCACCATGTGTGTTTTGTCAGGGGCCACCCTTCCTGAGCTATAAAAACAATCTGAGAAGGCTGCTACTTCTGCAGGGCTTGAAGATTCCCAGGCAAAGCCAAGCTGTGAATCTAGGCTGGCTGCTGCTAGTGCCAGGCCTGAGGCCACACTGAGGCCAGCTGTTGCTTGGTTGAGAGGATTTGGGAAGTTGTGAAGCATCACCCAAGACCATCCATTCATATGGAAAAGCTGCTCAGGTGGGTCTGTAAGTTGGCTGGGGTGGAATCTTCCTTAGGGAATTCTCTTCCCTATAATTACATAATTCTCAAAATGATCATTTTATTTGTACATAGCAAAAAGTTCACAAAACTTTTTAGCGCTGTTAACATTTTCACATTTGGGGATATAGCTAGTTGACTTTCTTCTGATTTCTTCCATTTTTGAAATCCCACATGATTACAATGTTAAAGTACACCAGGAAGAACAGGAGTTTCAGGAAGGACACAAAACACACCAATACAGAAAATAAGTCTGGGTATTTCTGAGGAGGATCCAGCGTTACAGTCATCAGTGTCAGAAGGACCATTGTGATGACTGACATAAGAAACTGTAAGGAGGAAAAAGAAGCATTAGTAACATCAGTTAAATGTA